AGGGGGACTGCGTAACAATATGGCAGACTGAACGACATTTCCAGCACAAGGGTGAAGGGGCGTGAGAACATCAGCGGGGAGTGTTCTCATGAAAGCCGCTCAAATGTGAACAGCACACTAAATTTAAATAAGCAAGAAAAAATTGTGATAGTGAAGGCGTGATATGAGGATATAGGAGAGGTGAATAGCCCATGACATTAAGAGAGATACCACAACTGTTTAGCACACATTTGCTTAAAGGATTGGCTTCACTTATCTATTTGAAGCGTTGTAGTATGGTGCTAAGAATGGCAAGACTCACTGACAATGCCGGCGAAACGTCTGGGAATGTACCACGTCCACGGTCCCACTGGAAATTATCATGCATACACTGGATTCCGGACTAGGTGCATTCCTCTAAATCTTTCTACCAATATAACCAAATTGTGAAATCAAGATCAAACAACCTCTATAATATAGCAATTTTTTTATCATTTGTATTAGATACTAGTATATTTTCACAAATAGACTTAAGTTGATCGATAAGGTAGTATACAGTTATCAAAGACATTTCATTAACTGAGAAATATTTTTGGTCATAGTTTAATGCAAATGTATGTTGGCTTTGATAAGTTAATTCTCATTCAATTAATAATTCTCCAAACATTTTCACTATTTATAGATTTAAGCGTAATCTTGACATCGATTTCACGACCGCCTGCCTTCTTTGTGTCTTCAAGCACCATGCTGAACTTTTGGTACACCCAATGACAACAAGCCAACAAAATTCCGGAGATGACGTTGGACTGCATGATTTATTCGACGACCAAGACGTATCAACTTCCTGTATAACTAGTGAGAGTGGATTTAATGCTCTCGAGCTGAATTCCAGCTCCGTTAATAGTCAGCTTTGCCCAACATACTTTTTAGTAGAGAAAGTGATGCAATCCAAGGCTTCTGCACAAATGAAACTCTCGCATCAACTAAACAGTGCCATCAGTCTTTTAGATTTAATTCGCCACCCAACAAGTATGCTACACTTTTGACCCGGCAGACCCAAAAATATTGTACTTCTGGCCGTTTAGACCGAAAGCTTGATAATAGTGATTGATCTACTCATGTAAATAAAATGTATCTATTTAATAAGATATTGGTTTCTTTTTTGCACTTTAAGCACATGCCAATTTTCTTTTTAGATATGTAAAAATTAACTATCTAAAACGATCTTTCGTATCTCCAATTTTATTTATCTTTCATCCTTCTTTATTGAGGGAAAAACCAAGACGTATAATTATACAAGTTGTTTGTCCTTGTTCTCACGACTTGGTCATATTGGTAGGAAGACTTAGAGGAACGCACCTAGTCCGAAGTACCTTGTATGTATGATAATTTCCAAAGTCGGATCGTCGACGTGGTACATTCCCAGATGTTTCGCCGGCATCGTCAGTGAGTCTTGCCATTGTTAATACCATACTAGAACTCTTCAAAGAGACAAGTGAAGCCGATCCTTCGATTAAATGTGTGAGAAACAGTTGTGGTATCTCTCATGTCCTGGACTATTCACCTCCTATATCCTCGTAACACGCCTTCACTATCACAATTTTTCCTTGCATAATTAAATCTAGTGTGGTGTGCCCCTTTGAGCGGCTTTCACGAGAACCCTCCACGCTGGCGTTTAGTTATATTTTCGATATATTATCCAGCCACTAACTGCACTGATTTTCATATACGATACCACTTTATTCTTACTATTTTCAAGTAGACGAACGAATTCATATTTCTGATCTGGCTAGTAAGGATTTTGATGAAAATCTAATAGAAACATCATAATTGCGAAAGCCGCCTTTATAATTTTTAAAATCCATATATAGCATCTGGAGACGAAGCTAACCTGATAATTAAAGTTGTCGAGTTAAGTTAGCTTATTATATAAGCGAATTTCCTTATCCAGTTTTCCATCAACTTTAACAATCGGGTTGGTAGGTTAAATTAGCGTGCGAACTACGAAAATATGCCTAATAAGAGCATCTATTCCGGAAGTGGCGGTCTTAGACATGTACGTATATTATATGCTTTATTTTGGCTTGGATTTAATGCCTGTCTTGGAGCAAAAAACTGCATTGCAGTTTACAACCAGGCTACAGTAAAAAAAGTAGGAATTCACATCTTTATCCGACTAAAAATTATACTTTGTCAATGGTTATTAAATTTAAATAATGTGGTCGAATGATAGTTCTGGTTATTCTTCATTTTCGCTGACGGGCTGATTTGTTACTCCATCCTCTGGCTTTCCTTCATTTTCACTTACGGTTAGGTTGGTTGCTTCATCCTCTGCGTTTCCCTCATTTTCGCTGATGGACTGACTTGTTACTTTTTCTTCTGCCTTTTCCTCATTTTCTGTTTTTTTTATCTCTTGGTTATTATCATTATTTTCTTCCATTGTATTATCATTTGTTTTTGATTCGGTTTCAGTATCTAGTAAAATCATTGTTGAAGAATGACATTTATTAATTGGTTTTTAGATAAACTAATACTTTCGCAGTTTGAATGAATTTGTAGCATGGATAACATACAGAAAATCTGAAAACTAATTCTATGCTATATTCTGCAATTATGTAGCCTTGGAAACTCTTAAGAGGACTTTCATTCGAATTTATATTGGACATAATTATTTATCAGATAAGCTATTATTCATTCCTATTTGACTGTTTAGTATCAATGGGCAAAACGCAATGTAGGAATTTGGCCTATTACCTATTTCTACGTCAAAAAGGCAATTGATTAGTCCTGGAACAAGCATGAGAAAATTGTTCTAAAATTATCTTTTTAACGATGGAATGCTATGCGTGATAATTATTGTAGCGTCAGGCTTTGCCACATTTACAACTGGAGTCACCAGAAAGATTTATTCAAAAGAATAAGTGAAATGCGCACACCTTAGGTTAGCCATATCCTTTGCTGAATTTATTAACAAAAGTGTTTAATGTGGACTTTTCGCTAATAAGTAGGTTTTTGAGACTGATAATAGATTATATTTATGGCATGTATTGGCCATATTTCGTTTATGGTAATACAGTAATGTTATGATTATTTAAGAGCGGTAATCGCTAAGTTCGTCTTGTAAATTTTTATCCACAATTTCCATTCTGAAGCCCAACACTAACGATAATATGCCAAATAAAAACTGAGCAATGGACTTAGATGAGAATTATATTGGCACAGATGTGTAGTTTCATTTCAATCGAATGGCATATTGATGAATTCCTTACTCCCCAAGAATACGAAATTTTCAATACAACAACTATTTCGAAAGCTCCTCGATGAAATGACCTGCTGGACGATAAATCAGCAAACTTAAAACGAGCAAACAAATGTAATTGCAGTGTATCTGAATGAAAATAAAACGATCGGGAAGGAGAAAGAGGGAATGGATATGGTGGCCAGAATGTGAATACTTAAGAAGGCTATTAAGTATGCAAAAATTTTAGAACGTTCTTTGGAATTACAGACTACGCTTAAGATGATAGCCCGTGGCGGTTTATATAGTTTAAGTAGTTTTTGGTTAGAAGATTTTATAAATTGATTTTCATGCTGCTCTGGGTTCCACTTTATAAACAAGTTCAAGTGCAGACTTCAAAGTTTGCAATGAGTTGTATTCACCCTATTTCGTCTAAGGTGATGAAGGACTGGTAGTAGAATTTTCCCACAATGATATTAGTTGAGCTTACGTTTCCATTGAATTTCACATAGCCTTGCTTTCCCAAAAGTTGTCCTCATCCATGTTGGACTGCACTTTCGACCTCGCATCGGTCTTATCAACACCCTCAGTGAGTCGAACCGCGGCAGTGCAGGATGGAAGCTTGACACGCTAACCACTCGGCTACACTGCCACGAATACCCTTGAGTCACGGGGTATAAAAAATCGGTTTTGAATATCTTAAAAGATTGATGCTAGGGTGCCTTTCGTTTGAAGAAGCGAGTTATGAAGTTTATAATAATAAGGAGCATGAGTCTAGCAGATATTGATCAAAGGACCTGGAATTAAGACGAGGAGTTATGGTTTTTAAGTATTTATCCATAAAGCCGAACGGTGATTATTACAGAATAATGTCACATGATGGAGGGAAATACATATTTGGGGCTAAATAAGAGGCTCGATCAGTTTGCCAGGGTAGTCATGTTACTACCGTGTAGTCTCTCGAAGAAGGTTGGTTAATTATTCGGGAAGTGGGTTAGGAACTATTTGTGAAAAGGAAATAACTCTTGTCGGTGATGCCTGTCTTTGAGAATAATCTGACTCCAGATCGGACTGTTACACAATTTTGTCTGTGGTAGCACCTATTGAGGAGGGACATGCAGGCCCATACATTAAAGACGCACAAATTTACAACCACAATTCTAAGGCAACCGCCCCACGGCCTCGGGTGGAACCAACCTACGAGTCCCTTCCAATTGCCTCTCCAAACGTAATGAAAGGTACACCATCAATAATTGCATTCGTCTTACGCTTTTTTTGCAGCCATTTCACATCTCATCCAAAGCTATTTTTATTTTCAGCAAACATGTGCCGAAAGCGTAAGATATCCAACAAAATTATGGGATATCTCATTAAGTAGACAAAATTAAGCTACAATAAGTTGGGTTTTCAGCCAGCCATTTTATACGTCTTCGGGTTTTGGTAAATTATCGTAGAGCATGGTGTCTTGCTCTGGACGTGTCCGTCATACAACAGGCAAAAGCTCAAAAAGGAACATCGTTGTAGCAAGCCAATGCGTCGAGGACTTATTGGAACAAAACTATAGTCACAATTTCAAGGCGACCCCCCTACAACCTGCAGTAGGGTTAATAAACACATATATTTCACTCGTCTCTTTAAACGAAAATGAAGGTTACTGCAATTTCGAAATCTGGTATGTTTTAATTCAGAGATATTTGGAAAATAAACTGGGGTGGCTAATTAAAGACTTTATACTCAATTTTTTGGAAATTCTGCCAAGATCAGTTTTATTCTATGGTAAATCAGGTTATTGAAGACAACTTCCAATATTTTCATATAACAAAATTTAAAATGTAGCCTTAATCACTTGTCACATATTGTTACAATTATATTATTTGGGCAGCGAAATTTTGTTTAGAAGGTATTTGCAATAAATTATAATTTACTATTTAACATTAAAAACATCATCTTTTAGTTGTCATTAATTAAACGACAATTTACCTTCAAAATTCGCGTGGATTTCTGAATTTATAGGAGTAAGCTGACGATTTTCCACCATATCATTTAACTCTACAAGATCATGATCCGGAGCAAATTCTTCTGTAATCTGTAAGAAATAGCATACAGCATGAAAATTTTTTAAATAAAATACTAAAGGAGAGAAATATGTTTAATAAAAAAGTGACTTAAATTATAGCGTAACTATAAATTCTATTAATCATCTAATTAAAAACCATGCGTAAAAATAAATTATTACCGTGTTAATTTTAGAAAATTCAATCTGTCTAGATTCTTCCAATAATATACTTTTTTTATCCTCTGCTTCCTTTTGTTCCTGTTCATAGGCTAACAATTCTTGAAGTTCCTCCTCCTCCTAATATAAAAATATATCATAACATTCAAAAGATTTAATAAAACTGATTAATAAAGTAGGTTACATGCTTAAATTTTTCTCTTATATGAACATAATTCTTTAAATAGGAGGACAGAAATTCGATTGGATCCGATGGTATTCGAGCTATGATTTCAGCTAAACTCTCAGCAAGAAGGGTGCCAAAAGAACGTAAAATATATTTTGATTCTTCTCCAAAATTTATTTCGGGTGGTAAATTTTCAATAAGGTGATTGCAGCCATACATTCTTAATACCAACCGAGGCGGGTATAGCAAACACTATAGAAACTGCAATTTAAAAGATATATATATATTTTTTAAAATATGCAAGGTAATTATAATAAATTTAAATAAAGCAATAATTCTAAATTAATGGTTTATTATTTGAATTTTGTTACGTTATTTCTACGAGCTATCTTAATCATTACTTCCTTTA